ATTACACCCCTTGACCGCCCAAGGCGCCTGCTCCCTCAAATCCGTCTCAACTCCATCCTGCTTGTCTCTATTTCCTCTTCCTCCTTTCAGTTACGAGTATGACTCTCAGCCCGTGAAGACGGGCAACAGCCTGGCGCAGATCGTGGTGGGCACCAACAAGGGAGTTAAGACAGCGCTTGACTCCATCGCTGCCGAAGGTAAGAAGCAGGGAGAAACAACACAGAGAAAGAAGGGGGGGGAGAAGGATAGAGTCAGAGAGCAAAGAGGTGTATAAAGAGATGTGTAGTCGTAATTGAAAGCGAGACGGAAGTCTGCCAGCATCGTTGCATTTTGCTTGCGGAGGCGTGCCTTTGAAGAGTAAATCTTATTCCGCGCCGTCGCAACTCCCTTCATCCTCCCTCCAGGCGCCAAGGTGCTGAAGGAGGTTTCAACCGAGGACGGTCAAGACGTGGCAGCTGTCGCGGACATGGACGGGTACACACTGACTCTGGTGGATATGGAGGAGTTTAACGCGCAGCTTGCTTAAGACGAGTAGAGGCGGAAGAGGAGGGGGGGGGAGAGAGGTAGGGATGGGAGAAGAGGCAACAGCGCCGAAATGCCGGTAAACTTCGGCAGTGACAAAAACTTAGACTGGAAAAACCTTGGATTGGCTGTCCTGCGAGGGATGCGTGCATGGTCGGAAATGCTATCGTTGTGTGTTATCTATATGAAGGCGATGAAATGTCGACATGTGTTTGTGATTGTGTGAGGGAGAAAGTGAGCGGGATGGAGGAATCGAGGGATGAACATGCTGAAAAAGGACAAAACGAAGGAGGCTGCACTCATGTCTATCGGTCACTTTGCTCGTATACGGGTATGTTCTCTCACGTTATAGATGTTGTTTGGCCCCCATTGAATGTTTTTCATTGGAATGACATCTGTGCCGCTGCCATGGATGGGAGGTGCGGTCAATGCATGAAAGCGAAAGGGAGTATTCCTTTTTCTCGCGTCCAATATGTAGTTCCGTGTGGATAATTTACACACTTCCTTTCTTTCCTTCGACGAACTAACAGTCCTTTAAGCCCATCTACCCAAATCACAGTCGTTCCCAGCGGGTCCACCTAGTCTCTTTCCCTCTTGTCCTCCTCTCCTCCCTTGCCTTCTCCTTCTACAAGTCAACCCTCTTCTTATGTCCTTTGTCTTGAGTCTCTACAATAGAGAGATGACTGCATGAGCCCTGCTCCATGTAGAGAGAGAGAATTTAAAGAGTTCCTTACGAGGGCGAGACGAGGACGCATCTCGTCCTGAAAAGTATCACATTCCTCGAACAACGACCGGTGAGCTGACCGAGCTCAAGCAAAGGAAAAGAGCTTAGTGACGAGGTACAAAGCACAAGCGAGCTAGCCCGACTGAGGATATCACCTCTCCTGAATGATGATCGTTGAGCTGGTAAAACTCAACAAAAAAAGCGGCTTTCAATACATTCGAAAGAAAGATGTGAGTGTCGGAACGGAGAGCAAAAGCGAATAAGCCCAAATTACGGAGAGCTGGAGTTTTGAGGCGGCGTCCCCAACTTGCCGCTCTGCATCGAGCCAACCTAGGATCCGCAAGTCTGCAGAAATCCCGATACGTGACTTAAGCATATTCATTTGCCAGGATAGGAGTTGTTCATTGCAAGGACAACATAGCCGTGGTATGGGAGAGAGAAATTCGGATGCAACCGCTCGGGGAAATCCGCCTTATCCCCCGAAGCCAAGGATTCCTCGACCGCTCAACCGGAGAATTTCCAATTTCGCAGATTGACGCTGTGTGCTCGCTGTGTCGATTCAATCTATATGTGACCTTGTTGCCTGAATTTTCTTTACAGTAAGTACTGAAGTATTATGTATATTTATCCTCGATGTTATTCTTTAGCATATGTGTTTAATGTTTTTCGTGAAGGCGATATTGTCAAGAAGATTCGATCATTCGTCCTCGCTCAACGCACCTACGGATGCTTGATGCATCCCTTTTCACGAGACGTAAATGATGCACGAGATCCGCATGTGTCGCGCCGTCTACTTTGATAACGACAGGATCAATCAAGTGACAAACGTAATGTCGTAAATGACACGACCTTGGAACTGTGCTTCAAACGACTCTCGTTGCCTCCTCGGAAACTTGGTCGCGCTGGGCTCCCTGTGGTGTACCATTACTTTGATATTGTTCGATTGAGTCTCATTTGTCTATATTCCTCTTTCATCCCGTAGACAAGGGAACATGATTTTCGTTCCCTTCAAAGTGTGTTTTGCTCTGCTAGCGCTCTTTGCCTTGCACGTCGAGTGTCAACCTGCCAGGCTTCCAGTCGTGCAACAATCTCGGGGGATGGACGAAAAGCATGAGCTCCACACCAGATTGAAAGAGCATGTACAGTCCACCGCCAAAAGGTGCGGGACGAGCTGTAGAGATCCACGAGGCTCCTCATCTTGTTTTGACCGTTTTACCTGAGGAAAACCCTGACTACAGTAAGACGGCATTTCAAGAATCGTCGATAAATGCAACACGCGATGGTCATTTCGAGGAGCGTAAATTACTTTTGAAACCATGAAAGAGAAGGTGGATTAGCAAGAGAAAGCTCAAGAAACAGCTTCAAGAGTGCGAGACTCGCTTACAAGAAAGTCAGGACTCTTTGGAGGCCCCAAGGCTTCTGTTCAGATGGTACAGCACTGCACGTTGGAAATGACAGCAGGACGATATTACCTCCGCACAACAGATATGGATGCGGATACCTACGTCTTTACAGAGATGCCCTTGCAGCGCGCAACAGTCTGGCCAACAAGCTACTTTGTAGGCTACCTGTTTGATGAGTTCTTCCCGGTCGAGAAGCCCAACGCGGCTTTCACCTTCAATGTTTACAACAATCAGTCAGAGACGACATTTGGAGGATTCCTAATGTCTGTCATTCTCTCGTCGCATGAAGTCGTCCCAAAGAAGGACACCTCCACTCTTGTTATCTACGAGCGTGGTCAGTCGACCAGACGGAGATCAAGCGCATTCACGACAATGCCACAGCAGACGTCGCGCGCGTCGAGGGCGAGCGAAGGTTGTCGGAGGAGCGTCTGAGGGCGGAGGTGGAGCGGTACAAGTATGACCTGCGACTGACGCAAACGCAGGACTTCAAACCGTACCAGGCCGCCATTAGGGAGAACCAAATAAAGAGGGGAGGAGCCGGCGGACCGCAGGACTAGCTTTTGGGACCCTGTATAGATGTATAAAAATATTCAAAAGACACTTTCAAAGACATGTACAGTGGCCGGGGTTATGAAGAAGAGGTGGGCATGAGGGGGTAGTAGGACTCAAACACGACAAATGCAACAACGAGGGCTCCACAGACATTTAAACCCGCGAGTTCTTCCTTTCTCTTCTTTATTTGATTTGATGCACTTGCTCATTTTATCTCCTCCGCACTCACTCCGCCAACCCCGCTTCCAACTTGTCCAACCAAGCTACGGCGGGTAGGACAGGGGGCAGAGGGTGGACAGGGAGGAGGAGGTCGTGGGGGTTAAGATGGAGGCAAGGGG